CCCACAGGAGCCACAGCCCCCCTTGCAGCCCCCACAGGAGCCACAGCTGGAGCAGGAACAGGCTGGCACACAGCAGCACACGGGCTTGCAGCGGCTGGAGCCACAGCCCCCACAGCTGGAGCCACAGCCCCCGGAGCAGCCACAGCAGGTCATGGTTCTGGAGGTGGAGGGTGGAGAAGGTGAGAGCAGCAGGTGGAGAGGGAGGAGTGAGGTGTGGGGCCTCCTGAGCCAGGGCTTTAAGTACCTGTCTGGGGTCCTGATGGCAGACACAGTCTCTTCCTTATGTCTATTTTCACACTTTCCCTAGGGAAGTTGTGTGTTTACAACAACACAAACTGCTCCAGCTGTGACACACCCACTCACCCACTGCCTTCTGTGCAGCTTCAGTGCCCGGCTCCTCTGGCTGGGGGACCCTCAGAAGGAGGTGATTTGGGAATGTCTTGCCATGTCCAAATCTCCCTTGCTTCACTGCAGAGACCCAGTGGAGTGACCAATGTTTCCTTTTGTCCAAAATCATAAGAAATTCAGATTCTGGTGCAGAATGAGCCAGGTGCACTTTTAGACTCAAGACAGCTTGTTCTGTGGACTTTGCAGCTTCTACCGACTGGCCACGCAGGTTCCTATCCACACCTTTCCCCCAGATCTTTCTTTGAGGTTTAGAGTTCCCTGCAAAAGAAATTGCTTACTGTCATTGCATCAGTCCCCACATACCTCCCCACCTTCACCCTCTCACTGTATAGGATACCACTGGCTCCAGGGCTGCTGCACACTCCAGTTCTATCCCTAGGGCATAACCACGACTCTTCGTGACCTCATGTTTAACCTCTTATTTGCCATTTCTGAAGTGCAAGAATAACATATTTAGCATAGAAAAATATCAAGAAATCCCCATAAGCTCAAACAGAACACCCACACCTGCGAGTTCATCATCTCAGAGGCAAATTCTCGTTTTCTTCTCAGGATGTGACTGTCCAGACATTGGGAAGTGTACTCTTGTTGCTATTTGCATTCATCCGTTTTCTGTTACTGTGATGAAATACCTGAGGCTAGATACTTTATAAAGAAAACAGCAGCTGCTTCTGCCAGGAAAGCAAGGCAGTCACCATCTTTTGGTCTGGAAAGTGAGTCCACCCTGCCTGTAGCCACAACAACCCGCAGAGCCTTTTCAGCCTGAATGTGAGTCTCACGGCCACCTGTCCGGCGATTTAACATGCAGAAGTCGAGGCTGGTGTGGAGGCCGAGAGGCAGAGGGCAGAAGCGTGGATCCCCTGAGCCCTGCCTGCCTCCGAAGATGCTCCTGCCATCTGTTCGAGACAGCTCGCCGTCACCATCTCTGAGCTGTTCCTGCTCTGGGAGGGCAGTAAGCCGGCAGGTCCTGCGGAGGAGCCTGTTAGATGAGGCTCAGGTCAAGGATCAGGTCCGCTGCGGCGCCTGGTCGCCTTTGCTGTCCACAGGGTTCAGTGTTTGCAGCGTGTGTTTCACCTGGAAGCCGGCAAGGAGAAATGGCTAGTCTCACAGTAGCCTTTTCTCCCCCCTGAACCAGGGCAGCGGGAGGGACTGTGTTGCCGCTGAAATGAAGGCTCGTCCTTGAGTTTATTGATCCCATCTCTCCCTGACATCCAGGCATTCTCCTGTGGACTCTGTGGATCCATCTACAAGAGAAAGGGACTCCTGGTTCACAGGACTTTCCATCTGTCCATTTAGGACATGGAGCTGCTGTAAGAGACATGCCTGTTCAGGAATCTGGCCTTCCCTGGAAGGAGCAGGAACAAATGACCAAGCTTCAGGAGCAGTGACATTCAACGATGTGGCTAGGGTCCTCACCACACAGGAGCTGGGGCTGCCGGACCTTACTCAGAGGAAGCTGTACCAAGATGTAATGGAGGAGAATTTCTAGAACCTGGTTGCTGTGGAGAACCTTCCTGCTGAGAGCCAAGTCATCTTCTTTTTGGTCTGTAGAAATCGCTTTAGTTAGTCTCTCTGGAATCCAAATTGGCTGCTGTTCTCCCAGTGGAAACACACAAACAGACCCCCGACTCCAGACAATCACTGGGTCAGGACCTTTCCATTGTCCTGTTAGAATATCCTTCCAAAGTACCTTGGGCTTATGCACATTTTTGGGACACATATACCTTTCCGCAGCACTAAGCCCTGATGAATCCAAATTCAAAAAGTTTAGAGTAAAAAGGGTTATTTTAAGTTTATCTTTGGGGGATGTATACCCCTTCCCAATTCCCTCTTTTTGCTTTAATAAGTACACTTTAATAGTTTGATGAGCTCTTTCAACTATGCCTTGTCCCTGTGGATTGTGTGGGATTCCTGTTATATGAGTAATGCCAAATGATGAGCAAAATTGTTTAAAAGAGGTAGAAGTATAACCAGGGCCATTATCTGTTTTTAACTGTTTTGGAACGCCCACAGTGGCAAAATTTTGTAAGCAATGAGCTATAATATCTTTAGTTTTTTTCTCCAGCATGAAGGGAGCCCATCAAAAATCTGGAAGAAGTATCAACTGTAACATGCAAATATTTTAATTTTCAAAATTCTGGCAAGAGTGTGATCCATCTGCCAAATATGGTTAGGTATCAGTCCTCTAGGATTGACTCCAAGATTAACTTGTGGTAAAAAGGTCACACAATTTTGACATTGTTTTATTATTTGTCTAGCTTGTTCCTTGGTTATTTTAAAATGCTTTTGTAAAGTATTAGCATTAACATGGAATCTTTTATAAAAATTTGTAGCTTCTTCTATTGTGGAGAAAATATGTATGTCATATGTAGTTTTATCTGCTAAATCATTGCCCAAACTAAGGGCTCCAGGCAATCCTGTATGTGCCCTGATATGTCCTATAAAGAATGGATCTTTTCTGTCCCAGATTAGGCATTGTATAGTGGAAAACAAAGAGAAAACAGTAGAAGAAGGGGAAATCCTACCAGCATCTTCAAGGGATACTATAGCATTTACTATATACTGACTATCAGAAAATAAATTAAATACAGAATCTTTAAACATCACAAAAGCTTGTAATACTGCATTAAACTCTACCTTTTGAGCCGATTGTTTGGGTACTAAAAATGTAAAAGTTTGATCAGGTGTAACTACTGCTGCTGTACCATTATTTGACCCATCAGTGAATATATTTGGAGCATTCATGATAGGTGTTTTTCTTATCATTGGAAAAACTACAGGATGAGAAGACCAAAAAGACAATAAAGGATTAGATGGTAAGTGGTTATCAAATGAAACATTAGATTTGCACATGATCATTGCCCAAGTATTTAACTCATTAGCTAACTCATCAATTTGATCCATAGTATATGGAGTAATAATTTTATTGGGAGAAATTCCAAACACTCCCTTCGCTGCTTTTATTCCTTTGAGTATTAATTGTCCTACAGCCTCAGGATACCTAGTAAGAATAGTGTTAGGAGAATAAGATAAATGTTTCCATAATAATGGACCTTCTTGCCAAAATACTCCTGTAGGAATATTTTTGTTGATAGTACAATAAATAATAAAGGCAAACTTATATCAATTCTATCCAAATGCATATTTTCCATATATGTTTCAATGATGTTTAATGCCTTTCTTGCTTCAGGCATTAACATGCGGGGTGAATTTGGATCTGATGGACCTTTGAGGATATCAAATAAAGGTCCCAACTCTCCTGTTGGTATGCCTAGATAAGGCCTTATCCAATTTATGTCTCCTAATAACTTTTGAAAGTCGTTAAGTGATTTGAGTTGATCTACTCGTATTTGAATTTTTGGTGGACAGACTGTGGTTGAGGATAATAGAACTCCTAAATAATTAATTGGGAAATTTAATTGTACTTTATCTATTGCTATCTCTAGATTATAATTTTTTAATAAATTTGTAAGTGTGACATAACATTCTAGCAATGTGTTTATATCTTTATGTGCTAATAATACAACATCCATATAGTGAAATATTTGTAGTTCAGGATTTTGATTTCTAAGTGGCTGGATTGCTTTGTTAACATAAATTTGACACATAGTTGGGCTGTTAGCCATCCCTTGAGGGAGTACTTTCCATTCATATCTCTGATCGGGACCTTCATGATTCAGTGCAGGGATAGTAAATGCAAAACGTGGACTATCCTCAGGATGAATTGGAATTGAAAAAAAAACAATCTTTAATATCTATAGCTAAAACATACCAGGTTTTTGGCAAAGCAGACAATTGAGGAATCCCTGATTGAGCAGGTTCCATAATAACCATCTCATTATTAATGGCTCTTAAATCTTGCAATAATCTCCATTTACCAGATTTCTTTTTAATGACAAAAATTGGAGTATTATGGGGAGATACAGAAGGTTGTATATGTCCCTCTGCTAATTGTTGTTTGACCAGGTCATGGGCTACTTGTATCTTTTCTTTAGTCAGGGGCCACTGAGGAACCCATACTGGTCTTTCTGATTTCCAAGTAATTTTTATTGTCTCAGTGACCCCTTCTGAAAACCCAATCCATGTCTATTTATTCCTTGATCTATTTGAATTGGTGCTGCTATACCTTGTTCTTGTTCTCCTAATCTTTTTTTTTTCCTAAAACCTTGTCTAGCCCTAATAGTGGGCGCATTTGGATTGATGTCATTTGTTAATGTCAAACCTAATTGATCTAGGACATCTTGTCCCCATAAATTTATAGGAAGATGATCCAATACATGTGGCTGTGTAGTTCCTTCACATCCTTTAGGATCCTTCCAATCTAATACCATTGCACTTCTGTGGGGATTAGTTGCCACTCCTAGGCCTCGAAGCGTTTGAGTGGCCTGTTGTAATGGCCAATGTTTCGGCCATTCTTGACGAGAGATGATGCCTAGGTCTGCACCTGTGTCCAGTAGCCCATTAAATTCATGTCCTTGAATATTTAGTTTTAGCATGGGGCGAGAATCTAAATTTAAAGAAAGCATAGCCCAATCTACACCTGTGGAGCCTAATCCCCTGGAACCTCTTTCTACAGTACTACTGGAAAATTTATCATGCAGGCTGGGTATTATTAGTAACTGTGCTATTCTATCTCCTGGTGAAATTGCTGATATACCCCTTGGAGAACTGGCTATAATTTTTATTTCACCTTCATAATCGGGATCAATTACCCCAGGACTTATCATTAAGTCCTTTTAGAGTGGAAGA